CTTCCTTCCTTCCTTCCTTCCTTCCTTCCTTCCTTCCTTCCTTCCTTTCTTTCTTTCTTTGTGGAATTGAGGACAGGTGCCCCACCAAAGCTTTTCCATTCTATAACCTTTTCTCTGATTCTCTAGGATCTCTATGACTTTTTAATTTTAATGGTTTTGTCTTGGACAGCAATAATCAGGGCATGAAGAGTTTTCAACCCTCAGTTGGTGTGAGGCTAAAGTTCTCCTGAACTGAACAAAATTTTGCCAAGTAATCTCTGCCTTCAGGAACTGTTTTCCAATGGGAAAATAACATAGAAAGGGCTCTTGTATCTTACATGTCAGGGTTTGGTTTTGTACCAAAACAATTGAGATTTTTCTCTAATTATAGAAAAACTTTCAGAATCAGAAATGTTTATCTGTGAATCCCGAAGTTTTTGCTCACTATTTCTAAATGATCTGAATATGTAAGGCATAACTAAACTTTCTTTATGTATTCTTCATATCTAATGCTTAAACATATAGATCAGGGGTGTCCAACCTTGACAACTTTAAGACTTGTGGACTTCAACTCCCAGAATTCCTCAGCCAGCTTTGCTGGCTGAGGAATTCTGGGAGTTGAAGTTCACAAGTCTTAAAGTTGCCAAGGTTGGACACCCCTGATATAGATGCTTCTTGTATCAGTTCCAACCTTGTTTCCTCTATTCCCCACGCCAGGAAATGCAGTTAAACACGATTTAGTGCAAGAAGGAAAGAAAAGAAAAGTCACAGCCTTATTCTTCTCCTTCCTTTTCAGGCTGGAGAGAGGCTTTTCTTTAACTGAACATAAAATTACATCCTTTTCGCTCTTCTGATGATGCAAGTGGCCCAAGCAAACAAGCGAAACAGATCTAAAGTAAAATATGACCGGAAGGCCTTTTTTTTCCTGTTCTCCCTAACCCTTCTATTATAAAGTTAAATATTATTTTGTTGCATACCATCTGTTCTAGCAAACCTACCAGATACATTTGCCCTGCGATATTCTAAATTCAACAGCATATCAAGAGAGAACAAAGGACATTTTTGATTTCTCCATTCATAGCCAAAAAAACAAATAGGAAAAAATCTTACCTGTGTGTATGCCTTAAATAGTACACAAAGTGTGCCATAAATAG